AAGAGACTCCAGGGAGCCGGGAAAGCTGCGAGGAGGGGCCCGCCAGAAGGAAGGGAGCTCAGAGGGGAGCAGGAGCAGCGCTGTGTCCCTGATCCCCCTTCCCTTCCCAGAAGGGGCTCGGGGTGGCCCTGGTAGAGCAATGTCCTAATGTCCTTCTACCTCTGTCTTTCCCCTTCCTCCGGAGGGTGAGAGGCGACTTCCCCTGGGCGCTTCTCTTGGGCCCTCTCTGCTTTTCCCTTCCTAGTACGCTCTTGCCCAACAGTACAAAGCTGACTTGTTTCTCACCCCCCGCTGGTACGTGAGATTAATGAAATACCTCTGTCCCCTTTCTCTCCTCAGCCCTTGCTGGGGTGGAACTGTCAGAGGTTGATGTTGTGTAACTTGTGTGCCAAAGGGGACACAGAAAGTCAGTGGCCTCTGGGTACCTTGGTTTTCCAGTTGGTATAGTGGGAATAATAGCTGTGCCCTTCTGCAAGGGAGTTGTATAGGGATCAAAGTTCATGAGGCAGTCTGATCTGGCAGTAGCGGTGGTTATTTGAGGATTTGAGATGGTTATTGAGGGGCCTGCAGGTCTTACATCAGTGAATTGACCTCCTGCCAAGTCCAGAGTTCTCCTAAGTTAAAACGAGGTCTGTGTGTGGAATGGGAGAGTGCCCTGTTGGTAGAGTCCCTCTGTTCAAAAGTTTTGACTTCTTTCTGATTTCATTAACTTTTAATTTTCTCATTCCTGTACTTTGAGGTGCAGCAAGTGAAATGCTGAATCGTTTCTCGCCCGCTGTCTATTGAGGTTTGTGGAAACTGAGATTGTTTTCCCCTCCTGTTCTGTCACCAGAGGCCTTAGTTACTAATGACCCTGACTTCCAGCACGAGGATTTGAACTTCCTGTCCCGTAGCCAACGCTATGAGCAAGCCGTTAGGAAGAGCTCTCTGATGGTGATGAAGTTAAGAGAATATGGAATTGCAGATCCAGAGGAGATCTACTGGTTTAAAAGGTACCTAGCTATAGAGTTTGCTTCTTGTATGTGCTTTTAATCATCACCAAGGACATCAGCTTAATTTGGACAGCAAACATAGGGAAAAAGCACAACTCTCCAAAGACCTGTACAAAAGCCCACTGAAGTCTTGGCTTCAGTGAATTTCTGATGAAACCCTGATATCCTGAATATTCTGTTTTCCTTAGATTTTTTTACTAGACATGCACCATTAATAATTACACCCTTTGTATTATATATGATGCAGAAAGGAAAAAATAGGACTTGTAGTCTGATTTTTTTTTTTATTCCAAAATGAATAAAAAATATACTGAAATATTTTGAATCTGAATAGATCTGATGAAGTTGCAGCTTCTAATGAAATCTCTTAAAGCTGATTACTTCACTTTGCACTTAGACATGATAAAGTTTCATTACAGGCATACTTGAAAATGTTCCAAGATAACTTAGAAGTTGTTTATAACTATCTGTCCTGTCTCCCTCCTCCAAGCTCCTGGTGCTAATAGTGGTTCCCTCTGACCTACAGGGTTTTTGTTGTAGCTGACCTTTTGTTTATCTGATAGTGTTACCCTTGGATTAAGTTAATAAAAATAAAACTGTCTTTACATCTGAGCTTCATTCCTTCCAGCTTGCAGGGAACTTAGTTCCTGACTTTGACATATTTCTCCCCTTAGTTCTATTAAAGTCATTCTGATATAAGCAAACAGAAACTGCTTAACAGAGAGATTGCACACTCTAGAAATCTGGGCATAATACCATGAATATATCCTCTGTCACATTAAGTAAACATTGCACATTAAATAATGCACTGGTAGAATCACAAGCCCCCTCTGACTGGATTTGTAGAAAAGGTGTCACTGGCGTCAGGGCAGGAATATTGGGACTAGTTAGTTGAATTTATCTTGTCTGCTGTAGTTTTAATTTCAAATAAATTGGTCTGCATTCACCTGTGTCATGAAAGTTCTTGTGGAAGTAATGTAATTGTTCTACTGCATGGCAAAAGTTAATAATTAATTTTTATTACATAAGATTATTGGAGGTGGTGGGGAAGTTTCTTTTTGTGGTGAAAATTCAGAGAAGTCTATGTCGTATACCAGCTGGCAAATTTAAACAAAGATTGCAATGTAAATACTGTCTTCTAGTAGCATTACAGACAATATTTAATGAAAACAGGACTTTTCTGAGGTAGCCAAATGTCAGATTCTAGTTTTGTCTTTCCATAAACTTACTTCAGAGTCAGCAATTCTTAACTTTAAATGGGTGAGAACTTAGTATTTCATATAGGTACTAAATAATACATCCATATCTTATGTGATATGAATAGTCAAGTGTGACTAGTCAGAATTCATGATCCAAAATCAGCTGAAACAGTGAGGAAGGCTCAGTTTTTTCAGAGTAATTTCTAATTGCGGACATTCAGGATTTCAAAAGATAATTGCAGTTACTGTAGACTGTATTTTCCAGTGTCTTCTTCTGTAATAACATGTAGAAGAATGAAGAGCAGTACATATATTTCTTGCCTGCAGGTGAAGTTTGTTTGCTCTGAGAAGGATATGCTGTTCTTATTCTCAATTTGAATGTAATGTCTGCTGTTTGCAAGGGAGGATGTTGGTTTACTGCTTCTTAATAAGTGGGAGAAATTAAAGGATTATTTTTTTCATCCTTTGATTTCATTTGCATTTTAACATCTGTCCCTGCTCTCTCACCTGCTGAGTGTCAAACATTTTTTTTTAAACTTAGAGTTCTACTGAACTTGCAGACTTAAGTTTGTTTTTTATCACAGACCCAAACATGCCAATTGGTGCTAACCAGAAGTTACTTCATTTGTGTAAAAGCTGACTTGGAGAAACAGTGTTTGGGTTTATTTGTTTTTTCCAAGCCAGAAAATTGAGTGGCTGTGGTCTTGTGACATGAGCTTGAATGAAGCTTATGAAATAGATTGAAGTCCTTGATTCAGATGTCAAGTTGTATATATTGTGATTGTCCATCAGATTTTCACATATGGAAGCTTAAAAATATTTTGCCAGGAATCCTTCACGCCTTGTGATGATCCCCAAACAGCAGGGACAGTTTTATTTACAGATGCAATTTTTTATAATTTTGAGCTAGTTGTTTTCCTGTAGCTTCTGTATACTAACACCTGGGACACCCTGGTCACACATACAGAGTGGGGAATGAGAGGCTGGAGAGCAGCCCTGCAGAGAGGGACCTGGGGGTTCTGGTCCATGGCAAGTTGAACATGAGCCAACAGTGTGTCCTGGCAGCCAAGAGGGACACCCGTGTCCTGGGTGCATCCAGCACTGCACTGCGAGCCGGGCCAGGGAGGGGATGGTCCCACTCTGCTCTGCACTGGGGCGGCCTCAGCTCCAGCACTGGGGGCAGTTTGGGCACCACAGGAGAAAAAGGATCTAAAGCTGCTGGAGAGCGTCCAGAGGAGGGACACAGCATTGGGGAAGAGTTTAGAGGGGAAGGGTGTGAGGAGAGGCTGAAGTCGCTTGGTTTGTTCAGCCTGGAGAAGAGGAGACTGAGAGGAAATCTCCTGGGGGTCTAGAACTTCCTCCCAAGGGGAAGAGGAGGGGCAGGCAACGAATGCCAGGAGCAGAGGAAATGGCAGGAAGATGTGCCAGGGGAGGTTGAGGCTGGACATTAGGAAAAGGTTCATTATAACTTGATTTATGAATAGATGAGGAGAAATGCTTCAGCTGTCCTGGAGCTGTGCTGAAACAGTTGTGACATGTCGAACTGAATGCTCCTCCTTCCTGTTTCCCCAAGGGCTTTGTTGGACTCCAAAACATAAGAGGATCTATTAAATATATTTAGAAGCCATTTTAATTGCTTCAATTCTTCCTGTGTCTTAACATGTGTGAACACTGCAGTTTCTGCTGTGACTACAACTTTTGAAGGCCAGCAGCCTTAAAGTGCCAATGTTTGAGATTTCTTTTACAGTCTAACTGCAGCAAAATCTAAGTCAGCATGAAAAAAAAAGGGAAATTGTTCTGATGTGTACTCTGTTCACTGACAGATAATGCTGTCAAACTCATCTGTCAGATAGAAGCGCCTTTTGCTATGTGGGCGGCGTTGGCTGCTATGAAATCTGCAAAGATCTATATTGCCAAATTAGCATATTACTACACATCCTTCTCCCTTCTGTCAGATAGAAGCACCTTTTGCTATGTGGGCGGCGTTGGCTGCTGTGAAATCTGCAAAGATCTATATTGTCAAATTAGCATATTACTACACATCCTTCTCCCATAAGTGAATTTGGGACAGCAGCTTTCCTCTTGACAAATCTGCAGATCTGACCTGAGACCAATGAGGTGATCTTTGGTCGTTGATCAAATGGCTGGTGCTGGATGCAGCCAGGCACATTCAGTCTTGATGTAGCAGAGCACTTGCACAGTTACACAATGCAGCTTTTGGAGAACAAGCTGTATAGGTGGTGGGAAATGCCAAGTGTGAATGTAGAAATTGAGTGGGGAAGGAATAAGAGTTCAGAGAAAGAAAACGAAGGAAAGGAAACCTGTTGTTCCTCCCTTCACAGCTGAAGAGGTACCTCTTCTGTTTGCCCCGTGTCATGAGGAAAACTGGATTCTCTCTCACTGCCATTCAAGTTTTAAAAGGCACGTTAAGAAATTCCTAATCATTCAGTGTGGAGTGTGCAGAGATGAAAAGTTTCTGCTGTAAATGAGCCAGCTTTCAGCTTTGTTAGTGCAAGAAGCTATTAAAATGCTGCATGTTTAGTCAGTATGAAATAGTATGACCTTCTGACACAAGGATGTTGAAGTAGCTTGCAAAATGTCATTCTTCTTACTCCTATCAGAGAAGGTGCAGTTAAGCTTGAAATATCTGTCACTTGTCACTAAACTTACTGATGGGCTGTGAAAGTTGCTGGTGTGACCTTAGAGAAGACTTTTTTTTCTTCCCCCCCACCACCCCGGAGCATTACCTTCAAAGAAGCATTGTCTGATCTGATTTTTCTGACAGCAAAGCATGTGCTGCACCTTTTTGTCAAGTTCTTTCGATGGCTTCTGAAATGTGAAGAAGTGTTCAGGCTCTTCCCAAGCTGCCCTGGAACAGTGTATTTCAAAGTCAACAGTCATTGTCTCACTGTAGGCTTGTCCTTTTTCAGCCCAAGGAATAGGTGCACAGTAGTTGTGCTGTAGGCAGCGAGGAAGTAAAGGATGCTGCTATTGTTATATGGGTCCTGGACTAAAAGAATAACCCACAAGAATGCTGAAAAAAAATTCTATCTCACTGTCCTTGTAGCATTTTTAAGCCCTTGGTCACCCTGATAACTTTGGCATTGTAAACACGTGCTGCTGTAGGCAACAGAATATTTTCTGGTAAGAAAACTGTTTGCCTTGATTCCAGAAACTCTGGACACTACATGCACTCACATCAGCTTAAAGCACAGTTAACCCATTGATCACCAGCTTATTCAGTCTTGTCCATTTAAAAACTGTTCCATTTAAAATAAGCATCTTCAACATACAGTTTGGTGGTGCTGAAGAAGCTTTGTCCTGCTTTCTCCCTCCCTGAGGCTGAGTTTCACAGTCTGTAGAGGGATCTGGTTTTGAATTATCAATTATTTACTCTCTGTTCCCAAGCACTCATTCCAGGCACGGTGTAAAATGCCAATCGCAAATGTGTAATTTGACAAACTATTTGCATAGCATCTGCTGTGCAGTGCAGGTCTGTGTGGGCAACAAACCCTTCAGTGTGCTCCCCGGGCAGTTATTAATGCCTTGAGATGGAAGGATGTATTTCCCTTGCAGTATCTTGGGTAGGTGGGAGAGATCTTGTATTTAGGTATTCATGTAGAGCGCTCATTTTATTCCTCCTCTGTCTTGGAGTTTGGCTAGAATAAGCATTTGTGTGCAGTAGATTGAAGGTGAAGAAAACTGTTCAGGCTGCAGAATGTTGAAGGGAAGATGCTGTAATTTACTACAAAGCTTTTTACATATGGAACCTTTTGAGCATATCTGTGTTATGGAGCTTGTTTTAATTGGAAATATACTTTGCTTGCCATTGTGGCTACTAAATGAGAGCTTTTGCTCATGAAATAACACTTAGAATGTCTGGTTTTCCTTCCATTTCCTACAGCACTAGCCTGTAACAGTAATTTTAATTGAGGGTGAGTTCCTGATCTCACAACTGATAGAAGCAGCTCCAGGCAATACAGATCTCTTCTGAAAAGCGCTTGGTCTCCTAAGAAGCCTTTTCCTTTTCAAGACATAGTGCTTCTAGGTGATAATGGCCCAGTACTAGGCTACCAGCAGGACTGGGATTTATTCCTACCAAGCCTGAGAGATGGGGGAGAAAATAATTTGGTTTTCATGTCCTCAGTTTGAAGTTCCTTATGAATTTTTGTAGAACAATATTTTTTCCAGTTCCGTAGCAACAACAGGATTCATGGGGTGAGGAAAATGCCTGAAAGAAATATTTATTTCCCCATTAGCATTGCTTCTGATGCCTCCATGTTTGGAGGTTTCTTGTGGGATAGAAAAGCTTGAACTAGGCAAAGAAATTATTTCTTTTATTCTACAATTGGAGAAAAGCCTTTCAGGATCACAGTAACAGTAACACTGAGATCCAGATCCCTCTATTTTTTTCCTGTAGAACATGCTTGGGCAATTTTCCTGAACCTTTCGGTCTCCACTTCAGCATGTTTCAAAAAACCTTAGAGACCCAAACGACTGATGCTCAGAAGGAGAAATGGCTGCCTCTGGTCCGTGGAGTCAAGATAATTGGCACCTACGCCCAAACCGAAATGGGACATGGTTAGTTCCCTTCAGGGATCAATGGGTAACCTCTTTTCTGTAACTCCAGTTTGTACACTGATGATGCTCCCTAGGTAAATCTAAAAGGAGAAAGGTAAAATGGTTTGGTTAACGGTTGGTGTTCCCTGCCCTTTAGCCAGACAGCTGTTTCATTTCACATCCTAACAATCACAGAGTTAGTTTTGGTCTTTTCCAGAATGCACCTCTTAGCTGATCACTGACTTTGTAGTTCTTTACCTTTGTTTTCAGATGAGGAGGTTGTTTGAAGCCCTGAGAGTCCAAATTTCACTTGAACTGGTTGGAACATGTCAGTCAGCAGTACTGTGGTTTTGGGTTTTGCCTGAATTTGGGGCATGTGTATCTCAAGAGTTGTTAGTGCATGACTGGCCTGCATAAGCAGGTCAGAAGTGTGCCTTTAGATGCAGCTAGCAGGGTGAGACTGGAGATTGCACAGTTTTGGTTTTCAAAGTAAGGTATGCTTTGCCCCAGGCACTTTTCTTCTAGATGCTACTCCATTGCAGCTGTACAACTTCATGGAAAGATCTTGATTTCAAAGAAGAAAAACATCTTATTCCTACTATTGTTGAAAACGACTTTTACTTCTTCAAATGGAAGAACATTTAATGGATCAGAAAACAGTCTTGTAGCCCAGAACCTGGAATTATGGCTGTTAAATTACCAGCAAGAATAGTTTAACAAACCAAAGACTCCAGTGCTTGTGCTGGCATCTGAGCTTGGAAAGCATGATGTGTGCAAGTCTGGACAGTTGCTGAAGTTAGATGGCAGTGCCAGTTGCCTGGCTGTTCAGTTCCAGCTGCTCCTGGCAGCCAAAACATTTGTGGAAGATGCAACGGAGGGAATCTTGTCATCTGCTCTGCTTGAGAGATGGAATGAGCAAACTTAGCTCGATGCCAGAAGTGAAGAGACAACCGGATGGCAACAATAAATGCCTGCTAACCTTGTTTGCTTTTTCACGCCAGCTTCTTTAAATCAGACACACCTCCACAACAAAGTGATTCGTTTTACTTGCTGTTTCACGTTAGATCATTGCACTTTCTTGCCTGGTGATGATCTGGTTTGCTTGTAGTTCTCTTTTTTTTTTTTTTTTTTTTTTGGTGATAAAATGAGTATTTTGACACTTAATAGAAATAATATAGCGATAGTATGGTAAAGTAAATACACTTTCCATGCTGAATAATTAAACTGCAACTGTTTGGCATTCCTAAAAAAAACCTGCTGTGAATGTTGAGTATCTAACTACTTCATCAGTAAAGCTTTTGCAGTAATTGTCACTGAGCTCTGCTTAATTTAATCCTGATGTTTAGAAACTGGTGATGGGGAAACAGACCTCTGGATTATTGAATTGGATCCTAGCCTGAATGGGTAGTTACTCAGTTTCATCTTAGTGAGTAAAGGAGTAATGAAACTGGACTGTTTCTATCTGGTTTATAGCTATTGCTAGTAAATAAGGATTTTCTTTCCGTCTTTGACTGTCAGCTGTGTAGTTCTCACCAGCCCTGAACTCATGTAAAATCTGGTATTTCTGACAACCCATTAGTCAGTCCCCTGTTGAGCTTGGTTGCTGTTCAGTCAAAAAGCTTAGAAAACATTGCTACAGGGTTTATGAGATGGTTGAATTTATTTGTAAGTGCCTGAGAATATCAAAGGAAAGAATTACAGTTGTTGGGAAGCTCCAGGATAGAGCTAGTTCATATTAATGTGTGTTTAGAGGTAACACCAGAATGAATTCTTCCCATTTTGATAAGAATGCCGACTGAGTTTGAGCTCAGCTCAGATCAGTGGTCTTTCTGTAATGCATATCTTATTTAAATACATGTTTGCCTGTTAAAGACCAGTTACATGATTTCATACAGAAATGTGCCAGATGGACAGCTTTTGTACAGGAGGTACTGATCCTCAACTCTCTCCACTGTTTTAATACTCAAAGCTATCAATATTTAAAGATTTAACAAAGCATTTAATTCTTTCTTATTGAAAAACTTAATAGACCACTTAAGTACCTAACAGTAGTGTTTGACAGAATTGGAGGAAGAACAGTTCTAGAGAAAGATATTTAATTGGAGAGACTTTGTGCTGGTGATTTACAGGTTAAAAAGTGTTGGCTTTCCTGCCACGTTGTTTATGTTCACAACTTTGACTTACACATGCAGAGCACTGTCCTTTTAAGACAGCTTTTAAAAATAGCAAAAGTTGAAGGGAGTTGAATTGGAATGTAATATATACTAGTTGTGTTTGATCTTTAATTTAAAAAAAAAAAAAAGTGAAGTAGATAGTACAGTTAGGACTCTCCTTTTTTAAAAAGAGAAGGTTCAGTGAAAACCTGGCTCATTCAGCTGGATAAACGGGGACTTCTACCAGGTTCTATCCTCAAACCCTGCAAAAAAAAAAGTGGACTTCCTGTCTTTGGTTGAGGACTCGCTTCATCCAGCCAGATCACATCTCCAACAAACTGACATTCTGACTCGGCCTGTTTAACTTGGATATCCTCTGCTTTCCAAACCCTAGTGAAGGTCTGATCTTTCTTTTGGATTGGATTAATCCTTCTTTGTCAAGTCATGGTGCATGAAAAAACTGGGAATGTTGCAAATGCATTTTATGTATGATTAGAAAGAAATGCATTGCAGCATGTTCATTTCATAGTAGGCATAATTTTTTATTATTCAGGCCTGAGAAAAGGACAGTGCTCTGGCTTCCTAAAATAAACTTGCTGAATTCTGATTTACACGTGAATCACTTTTTTTTTTTTCTTTTTCTTTTTGTCTCTTCCTGAATCTCCACCATGAATCCTCACGCTTGCTTCCCTGTCATAACATTCCCTTCACATTCCCATCCCATGACACTTCTTCACAGCTTTGTTCATCGTGGACGGCCTGAGCCTCTGGACCTTCATCTGGGCATGTTCCTCCCCACCCTTCTCACCCAGGCAACCCCAGAGCAGCAGGATCGCTTCTTCATGCCTGCCTGGAACCTGGAGATCATTGGCACTTATGCCCAGACTGAAATGGGCCATGGTACAGTACATTCACTAAATGCTATTTCTAAGAATGGCTTTGTGTACAAAGGATTCCCCTGCCTGGGAAAGGTGGTGTGTGTTTACCCCACGTTTTATGTGTGCAGTTGTGGCTTCAGGGAAAAGCAGACTGCCTCTGAAATTTTTAATAGATCATTACGCCACGTGCTGCTCCCCCTTTTTTCTCCTATGGGAGTTTGATATCTGTAGTTCTGTATCTGAGCATCCTGACTGCTCCTCTTGTGCCATTCAGACCAGTATAGATTATTGCATATGGCTCTGGGGATGTCAGTTTGATGACATCAGTTCATTTCTACACTTACCATTCTTACCAGTGTGATTTCTGCTTTGCTCTGCTTCACGTTCAGCGTGAAGACAAAAGGACAGAGCTTTAAGGTGCTGAAAGAGATGCCAAAAAAAGTGAGTTGCTTGTCACCTGGGGACTGACTTTGGATCAGAGGACACATGGATGTCTTGGTTCCAATGCTCATGTTTTGTGGGGAGCTTTATTCCCCCAATTCCTTAGTTCATTCCCATATATTCTTTTTAATTGGACCATGAAATGTTGGGGTTTTATTTTTTGTTTGGGTGTTGGTTTTTTATAATTCTCTGTCTCAAGTAGACTTTGTTCTTTGTTGTTATTCCTTTGCCTTCAAGCTTTGCAATGGATTTTGATAACTCCAGCAGTATTGTGATTGCAGCACTTTTAATCCAAGTTTTAATCCAAGGGAAGATATTATGCCTGGGGAAACTTTAATTTTGACATCTTGAGAGTTGCAGATGAGGATTATTTTCTAAAAATGAGCAGGATTCACCTTTGTGCTGAAGTGAAATGTAGAGACTGTATGAAGCATAAAGTAACTGCAAGTCTGTGGAGAATCTCTTGCAACTAGTGGGGTTTGAAGATCCTTTCCCAGCAAAGTAAGTCTGTGTTAAGCTGCCTATGGAAGTCTACCATTAACTCCATGCTTTGGAAACGTGGCTGCATCAAGGTGATACATCCTTTTTCATGTTGAAGCTCTTGTGGAAAGTCACTAGCTCTGTCTTCCTCTGTCAGTCCAGGCTGTTAGGAATGTTCACAGCTTGTCTAGTTGAAGCAAGTAGGCCTGGTGATTTTTCTTTATTTTTTAGGCATGCAGGGACAATGTCACTGCTGAGACAGATACGTGTGAAGAAGTGTTGGGGGCAGAAGACAAAGACTGTTCCTGGAATTGTTACCTTCATCTTCTTGCAATCTCTTTGTCTGTCAGTGCCCTAGTATATGCATGGCATTACTTGCTGTCTTGGAGCTATGGATGATCTCGTTTGGGAGAAACTGCTCCATCAAGTGAGGAGAATGTAGGCCTGATGAGGGAATGAAGAGATGATGGGCACTGCTTACTTCATCTGGTGGCTGAAAAGTGTGTGATTTTTATTTTACAATTTAATTAGATTGCAGTTTTAGTGAAATCCAGGTGAGCATGTTTTTGTGGACTTTTTTAACTGAGAAAGGGCTTCTGGTGTGTAATAGCAAAAAGGTGTCAGATTGGAGGTGCTTGGAAAACTAATCCTAGACCACTGGGAAAAAAAAACCCAGAACAACATGTTTTGAGAGAATTGGCTTCAGGTCCCAGAATATGGTCTGACTCTCACTTGTTCTTCCCTAATTTGTTGATATTTAGTCCTTTATATAGCCTAAAAGCAAAGTACATTACTAGTACAGTACTAGGACATTACCTAAAAGCAACATTTGTACATTACTACTGGAGTTCAACTTTCCATTGTCCCATTCTGTCTTTGTCTCTGTTTTGTGACTGACTTCCTGCCAAAACAATGTGTTTGCTTATTTTCAGGAACTCATCTTCGGGGTCTAGAAACAACAGCTACTTATGACCCTGCTACCCAGGAATTCATCCTCAACAGCCCCACTGTGACCTCCATTAAGTGGTGGCCAGGTGGACGTAAGTGCATCACTGTGTGTCTAAATCTGGAAGATGTATGGAAAAACATAGGGAGGTGATGTCATGTGTATTATATCTACAGAACAGTGATTGAAAGTTGATCCAAAGTGTTGGCTGAAAGGCAGTTACTCTTGCACAGCAAGTAACACACTTATCAAATCCTACTAAAACTTTGGGGTATCTGTGTGCTCCGAGTTGCTTCTCAGAATCATTCACTGTATGGATCTGGTGTAATTATTGATCAGTTGTATCAAAGTCTTTGTACTTCCTTCAGCTCCACTGTCAGGTTTGCCGAGGACTTGGTATTGAATAGTCTATATTGTTTGTCCAGCTGTAGAATTTGGATGATAACCAGGGTTGTACATCTGGTTTTGTAACACATGATGCAGTTAAGGTAATCTCAGATCCTGCTTTCATGAGAGACTCTGTGTGTATAACCATGTTGACTGTGTTTTTTTCCTTTTGACTCCTACTCCTTTTGCAGTTGGAAAGACATCGAACCATGCCATTGTTCTGGCTCAGCTCTACACCCAGGGCCAGTGCAAAGGACTACATGCCTTCATTGTTCCCATACGGCAACTGGGCACCCATGAACCTTTGCCAGGTAAAATCAGCGTTAAAGTTTTAGCATTCATGGAGTACGCTAGATCTGTTTCTCTCCAGCTACGTTCAGCTGCGTGTGTCTTGTTAATGTACATGGCTTATTTCATTAGCTGATTTCAGTGAGTAGATGGTAGGTCACAGGGCTTAAAGGAGTCTTTCTTATGACTGAACTGCCACCAGATCATCTTTCACATCACACTTTCAATGTGAAGGTTAGTTTGGGATTTGATTCTGTCCCAGTGTTTTCCAGCTATGTGTTCTGTGAGGCAGCATGTCCTGCTCTTTGAAAGGGAAAGAACACCTTTCATCACTCTCTAGATAGAAGTGAGCTGGATGATCTTTAGAGAGAGCTCCCCCAGTGACTGGATAGTAGGACTGTGTGTAAATTATGAAGATACCAATGTTTTGATGTCCAGTTTTCCATCAAAGAGATTAGGGTCCTTGTTAGCTGTTACTCCTAACAATGCCAGAGCTTCTTAGAAAACTAAACAGTCTCTTTGTTGGAGAAGGCTTGAACCTCTTGTGGTGTTTAGTTCCTGTTTCTTAATGCAAGTGGCTTTGTCTCTGGCAGGTATTACAGTGGGTGATATTGGGCCCAAATTTGGTTATGATGAAATGGATAATGGCTACCTGAAAATGGACAACTTCAGGATTCCTCGGGAAAACATGCTGATGAAATATGCCAAGGTAAAGCATATTTAACATTAAAGAAAGCATATAAGCAAAATTTCAGCATATGCTGTTAGCAGTGGACACTTCAAATGCTCTTGTGTGGTTGGATAGTGTACCAACAAGATTGTAGGTTGCTTGTAAGTGCTACTTGATGAGTTTAGAGCTTGAGATGTGAACATGTAAAAGGGAGGAAACTTGAAAAATCAACAGACTGTTGGGTTTTGTTCTTGTTTTTGTTTTTTTGGTAGGTTGAACCAGATGGCACCTATGTGAAACCACTTAGTGACAAGCTAACCTATGGGACCATGGTGTTCATCCGATCTCTCATTGTAGGCGATTCAGCTCGCTCCCTGTCCCGGGCTTGTACCATTGCGATCCGCTATAGTGCGGTGAGACACCAGTCTGAGCTAAAGCCAGGGTGAGTGCAGTGAAATAAAAGAGCAGCTGAAGTGCTGAGGGTAAATTCCCAAACACTGGAGGGAAGAGGGTCTGTGGTTGATGATGTTTGCTTTGAAACTATCAAGTGTCAAAACACTGTTTCATCCTGGGAAGTGACTAATAGTCATCTTTCCTTCTTGACTGCCAAAATGCCTTCCCCCTGCCAGAGACTTTTGCTGTATGGCCCTAGATAGTCTGGCTCGATACCGATGCAGCTTGTCCTCTCCAAGTGGAGAATCTTCTTAGAGTTGAATAGGACTTCACGGCAGTGTGCTAGGCACTGGCACACTAACTCATCTGTATTTTGCTGTAGGGAGCCAGAACCCCAGATCTTGGATTATCAAACCCAGCAATACAAACTTTTTCCTCTCCTGGCGACAGCATATGCTTTTCACTTTGTGGGAGCCTACATCAAAAACACCTATCATCGTATTAGTGGAGACATCAATGAGGGGGATCTGAGTGAGCTGCCAGAGGTACTGTGTCCTCTCTTGGTTTTATGTAAGGTTTCTTTACAGCAGGGGAGAAAAGGCATCAAGCCTTTTTGGCTTTCACTCATGAGACATCTTGTAATTCTTTAGATTCTGAGATCCCAGGCAGTGACTTTTATTTCTTTATTTGCACTATTCATTTAGCAGCCCCTTACAAAAAAATAGGGAGTAATGCACACAGTTAGAAAGCTACTGTGAATGTATTTTTTTAAAAGATGACTTCCCAGGAATGATGGCATACCACTAGAGTGTGGAGTTAAGACTGGTCTTATGCTTGTGCTGTAGCTTCTTGATTGTTCTTCCAGGTCACTAGGGTAGAACTGGTGTGTTGATGAAAGGTATTGGTACTATACTGAGGGGTTAGGGTTGTAAATGTTAAGTTTTCAGTTAGGGATCCTGTCTGAGAACCTAGTGTGACAATAGGCCATTGAAAACAGTCTTGGACATAATGCATGGAGACAGAAAGGATTGGGTACTCAAAATAAATCTTTACATGTATAGAGGCTTTCATGTAAATAGTTTGGGTCAGGAAAGAGTCCTTGCAAGAAAAACAAGACCCTGTAGGACACTGCAAGGATGGTGTTGGCTGTACTTTTTTTTCTGGGGGCTGCAGGACTGAGCATGTGTGTGTGCAAGCTGAAAATGGAAGAGAAAACATCTGAACTGCCTTTGCTTTTGTCCATAAGCTCCATGCAATGACAGC